GCTCACTGTCCTCGAGGTCATAGGTGGCCCATCCAGACCCATGATCAAATATTCTCTCCAGGTTCCAAGGAAGGCGGCAAGACGCCTCGAACCAGGAAGTTGCGCGTCTGATTAACAGTGGCCTTGACATCCTTGGTGCGGGGATGACGTGCACAAAAGGGGTCAGGCGTGTCCAGTGTGCATGGAGATTTCTTGGAATTGTGGGTGGCCAAGCCCATTTTTTATGCCAAATAAGCTGGGTTCCGGAACGTCCATCCGCGCTGCAGTGAGTGTGTGATTTTATGTATTAATGGGATATAATTGACTTTCCTAGGTTTTGAAGGCAGAAATTCAAAGTGGTGTTTGTCAGTGGTAGTCGTTTTTTTTTGTTTGTTTGTTTGGTTGTTTTTTTTTTTGAGAAGAGTCATCACTGTGTCGCCCAGGCTGGAGTGCAAGTTACACGATCTTGGCTCAATTGGAACCCCCACCTCCCGGGTTCAAAGTGATTCTTATTGCCTCCAGCGCCTGCCGGAGTAGCTGAGACTACCAGGCACCTCACACTCCGGCTAATTTGTGTGAGTGTGTGTGTGTGTGTGTACTGTGTTTGTGTATATTTTTAAGAGTAACGGACCAGGGTTTCGGCCCGTGTGGGGGCTAGTCTCAAAAACTCCTGACCTTCAAGTGTCATCCGACGCTTTCTTGGCCTCGCTAAAGATTGGGTTATAGGGACATGATGTCCACTGGATGGCCCAGGCCAGAACTCTGCTCATTTTATGTATGGTGTGCAGTTGTTGTTGTTATCGCCATGTATGAATAAAGGTCGTTTTGTTGTTGTTGACAATGATTTGAGCGTGGCTATTTGTGTTCTGGTGTATTGGGCTTCGACTAATAAGGGCTTCGTGCAATTCCTTGCCCTGCAGTGTGGGCAGGACCGCCCGGCTGGAACAGGAGTGCTTCGCGACCTACAGTCAGACAAGGTGATGCCCAGACCATTTTTTACGGCCGTTGCTTAAACAGAAAGGTGGGGGAAGTTAGAGTAATATTTTTAGGTTTCACAGTGAGTGCTTGGGGAAGTGGGGTTCTGTTTCTATGGCGGTGCTTGTAGGAAGGGAGTTTCTAAGTTTCGTCATCTGATCCCCTCAGTCTCTTGTGCTCCCCATGCCTCGCCACCTAGGCCTTGCCCTTCAGAAGCCAGATGCCTGTGCTCTCTGTTCCCAACTCCCGTCCTCCCGAGCCCTGCTGAATGCCCCTTTGCCCCCTGCAGCCCCCAGTACTTGCTGGACTCGAATAGCTGGATCGAGGAGATGCCTTCTGAACGCCTGTGCCGGAGCACCCGCCAGCGGGCAGCCTGCGCACAGCTCAATGACTTCCTCCAGGAGTATGGCACTCAGGGGTGCCAGGTGTGAGGGCTGCCCTCCCGCCTCCCCCAGGAGGAACCTGAGCCTGGGAACCGTGAAGCTGGAAGCACTGCTGTCTCCACTTTGCTGAACACAGCCTGGGACCAGGGCATATTAAAGGTTTTTGGCAGCAAAGCGTCAGTGTGTGTCGCTAGGGCCGAGAGCAGTGCCCCTCCGCATTGCAGTTCTGGGGCAGGCCAGGTTGACATAACCTCAGACCCTCTGAGCCCTGATGACCCTTGGGCTGTCCAGCTCTGTCAGACCCTCCCTGATGACCACCCGCTAGGAGTCTAGTGCTTCACAGGACCACCCCGAGCAGAACTGGGACCCAAGAGCCTGCCCCCCAAGGACCAGAGTCCCTGCCAAGACCACCCTTCAGCTTCCAAGGCCCTCCTCAGACAGGGCTTGTGCTCAGCTGACACCTCTGACACAGCTCTTCTGCCTCATGAGCTGTTGTCCAGCCACACCTCCCCGACTCTGTCCTCAGGCTGCTGGTGGTTCAGAGGTCTGTGGATTTTGGCTGAGTTCTGGGCCATTGATAGCCTCGTGACGCTTCGTTCTATTATCAGTGGCGTGAGGTGACGTTCCCGGAGTTGTGCGATCCTCAGGTCCGGTAGTGTCTTCTTCCAGTTACTGGTTTCAAACAAGCCAAAAGTCTGACTGCGCTGTTTGTGAATCCTCTGAGGAAGCTGCTGTTCTCTATTGGGACAACCCACTCCCGATGGTTAATGTGGGTTCTTTTCTATTTCCTAGGTGTCTCAACTGGGTTGAGAAATAAAGGGAAAGAGTACAAGAGAGTGAAATTTAAAGCTGGGTGTCCAGGGAAGATATCACATGTCGGCAGGATCTGTGATGTTCCCCGAGCCATAAAACCAGCAAGTTTTTATTAGCGATTTCAAAAGGGGCGAGAGTGCACGAATAGCGTGTGGGTCACAGAGATCACATGCTTCACAAGGTAATAAAATATCACAAAGCATGTGGAGGCAGGGTGAGATCACAGGACCACAGGATGTGGCAAAATTAAAATTGCTAATGAAGTTTCGGGCATGCATTGTCATTGATAACATCTTATCAGGAGGCAGGGTTTGAGAGCAGACAACCTGTTTGACCAAAATTTATTAGGCGGGAATTTCCTTGTCCTAAATAAGCCTGGGATTGCTACAGGAGACTGAGGCTTATTTCATCCCTTCAGCTTCGACCATAAAAGGTGGTCGCCTTAGGGGGGCCATCTATAGACCTACTCTCAGGGTGCATTCTCTTTCTCAGGGATGTTCCTTGCTGAGAAAAAGAATTCAGCGATATTTCTCCTATGTGCATTTGAAAGAAGAGAAATATGGCTCTGTTCCGTCCTGCTCACCGGCAGTCAGTTTAAGGTTACCTCCCTTGTTCCCTGAACGTCACTGTCATCCTGTTCTTTTTTCAAGGTGCCCAGATTTCATATTGTTCAAACACATATGCTCTACAAACAGTTTGTGCAGTTAACACAATCATCACAGGGTCCTGAGGCGGCATATATCCTCCTCAGCTTACGAAGAAGATGATGGCATTAAGAGATTAAAGTAAAGACAGGCATAGGAAGTCACAAGAGTATTGACTGGGGAAGTGATAAGTGTCCATGAAATCTTCACAATTTATGTTTTGAGACTGCAGTAAAGACAGGCGTAAGAAATTATAAAAGTATTAATTTGGGGAACTAATAAATGTCCATGAAATCTTCACAATTTATGTTCTTCTGCCGTGGCTTCAGCCGGTCCCTCTGTTCGGGGTCCCTGACTTCCTGCAACAGTTCTCCTGGGGTCCACCCTCCGCACCCTGCTTGCCTAGCTTACCCACATTTAGTGGCACACTTGGGGTCTTCAGAGATGGCTCCGAAATGTGTCCAAAGAAGATTGCTGAGTCCGTTTCCGTAGAGGTCACAACAGTTCAGCAGCCTGCCATCCAGTCATTCAACAGAAATTTGGGAAACTTTCACTTCACGCCCTGTGCCAGGTGCCACAGAGACAGCTACTTACTCACTGCAGGGCTCATCGCTGGGGAGACAGATAAGCGGACGGGCAGTCCCCAACCTCTGTGAAAGATGTGATGTCAGGGAGCAGTGCGGGCCTGTGCGGCATCTAACCAAGTCAGGGGCATTGCCGGGCAGGGACAGGGAAGGCTTCCTGGAGCAGGTGGCCTCCAAGTGGGAGTGGGGCTCTGAAGACTGAGAAGGAGCCAGGCAAAGAGCAGGGGTAGGTGAGAGCATCTGGCACAGAAGAAATATACAAAGGCCCGGAGGCCGGGGGCAGGACAGGGTACCTTTGGGAATTGCATGTTAACTGA